TTGCCAAGCAGAAAACTTTGAAGGGAGGAGGCTGGGGATGGGACCTGCCTGTGCCTTTGAGAGCAGATCCTAGAAGAACTCCAGGATGAATGAAGAGAGGCTGCTCTGTGGGACTAAACGGGGCATTGGAGCGGTGGAGCGGGGACGACTGAATGATGCCAGGGAGCCTGGAGTGAGGTGCGGGAGAGGGGCAGTGTGTGGGTCACCAAATTTCCCTTGCTCAAAGGTCAGAGAGGTAGTGTTTCCCAGTTCAGGGCTAATATAGTATTTGTAAAGGGTTCCCTGGGCCCTCTGGGGCGTTTGAGCAGTCACTGAGTTCACCTGCCTGCCCACCTTCCAAAGCTCTTTAGCGTGTGTCTCTGCTTAAAGGAACAAGGTCCCAGGGCAGCAATTTAGAGAGTGACTGGGAAGGTTGATATCCCTGGGGTGGGATGTTAATGGAGGCAGTGTCCAAGGGATTGGGCGGGTGCCCTGGGCCTGCTGGCCTACCTGCCTTTGTGGTAGGCTTTTCAGCTCAGAGCCCAGAGAGGTGCTCCAGCCCTGTAGGCCCCTTTACTCCCCACCCCCACCTTCGCCCTGAGTGGGTTCTGCTGTGCCTTAGTCTGTCTCAGCTGGATACAAGTTTTCAGAGGGCAGGGATGGTGTCTGGTGAAGTTGTGCCCATATGCCCACCCTGGCACTGTGGCCTGCTGGCTTGTTGAATGGCTCTCACATGCTCTACCTGCTTTCCTCCAAATCTTTGTCCCCAGTTCCTTGCCTCTCCCTCTCCTCTGGCTCTCTCCTGTCTTGCTCTGCTTCTAGCCCACACTCTGCCTTCCTCTTGGCCTCTCTCTTTTTCTGTCTCCTTTCCTGTGTCTGTATGTCTGTCCCCCTCTGCCACCCCCCTCTGTGTCTGCCTCACCCACGCCTCCTCCCTTGTTAGTGAGCAGGCTGCTGAGGCCGCCTGACTGTGGGGGTGACAGGTGGATTGGATTGTCACCCCCTCCCCCAGCGCCTGCTGCTTATTTCATGCCCTGCAGCCCAGCCACAGGGAAGGGGCGGGAGGAGGGATGACAGCTGTCTCCAGCGCCGCCTGCCTTCCCCTTCAGTCCACAGCCTGCAGCCCTGAGCAGCCTGGGAGGGAGGGTTGAAGGGCTTGCTTAATGAGAGCTGCCATTCTCAGCCTGTGCCAGAGCAGGTTCCAGCCCTTGCTTTGTGGTGAGGGGCTGCTCCTGCAACCTCTCTGGGCGTCTGCTCCCTGTTGGCCTGCACTGGTGTAGCAGCTCTGGAAGCAAAGGTCCAGCAGTGCCTCTGAGCCACCAGGCTGCTGGGCCAGGGTGGATCAGGGTAGGAGGGTGTGGGGATGGACACTGGCTGAAAGTGCTTCTTCTGCAGCTCCCCAGAAAGGGCAGTTCTGCTGCAGCTGCTGCTCCAGGAGCTAGCCCTGACCGCTCCCCACTCCCCTCAGTGGCTCCTGGCCACCCTCACACAGGAACTGAGATAACATCATTCTGAAACCCGAGAATGGTTTGAATATTGCTCAGGTACCAAGAGGTGTTACTTTGAGTTAAGCCGGGCCCTTTTCTTCTCCCATGCCCCCTCCAAACCGAGACCCCCTTTAGGGTACTTTTTTGTATATTACTTGTACCTCATTTGCATGTAAATACATCCTGTAGTTTCCTATTGGATCTGTGGCCCAGCTTGGAAATTGGCTTGTCCTTGTGTCCTGGATACACCCATGATTTCTAGTCCCCCCATTCTCTCTTCCTTGTTAAGGGGATGTACCTCCTGCTCTGTGTCCTCTTTGCTCTCCATTTGCAAGGACATCTTTGCAGTCGCCCTTCTTCATAGATGGTGGGTTTACACTTGCCTCTGTGGGTTTTGGTCCACCTTTATCCCTCCGTCACCTTGGGGAGGGAAAGCCCTACCTCTGCCTGTGCCAGTTCCCCACTCCTATCCCCACCCCCAGGAGGTCCTCTCTGCCCAATGCTGTGTTGCCAGCACTGCCCCAAGTGTATGAATTACAAGGGGAGGCAGCCAGAGCTTTCAAGGGGGCACTTTTGATGACACAGATACTGCCAGCCCAAAGAAGTCATAGCTGTGACCTGAGGTCAGGGTTGAGGGAGTTCTAGGGTCATCAGAGCTAGAAGGCCATCCAATCTAACCCTCTGTCTCTGTGGCAACCTCAGCCTTCCCAAACCCTGAGCCCTAGAAGTAGCCAGAGCCAGGTCATCAGGGAGGGCTTCCTAGAGGAGGTTTAGATTGGAAAGAAGAATGGGGCCAGGTCAAACCAGAGGGAAAAAGCTCACATCTGGAGAACAGATGCCCAGGCCTCTGGCTTGTAGCAGTTGGTTAGATAATTAGACAGAGGCCTAATTAAGAAGGCCCAGGTGTTCATCACAGTCTCCATAACTGGGCAAGAGGGAGACTTGGGCAGAATTGGCCTCTATTTCTTAGATAGGGTCAGTTGCACCCTACCCCTGGCTACCCCTTCTTCCTAAGTCAGGATTGTATTCACATTCTTGCCCCCAGGTTTTCAAAGCCTTGAGAAGATGTGGAATGGATAGCAGACAGGATTGAGAGGAGGGCACCCCAGCCAGCTTTGTGAGAGGGCTTCGGGTTAAGTGGAGGAAGGGCTGGCTCAGGCAGGGCAGTGCTGGCCCTGCGGTGGGAGCATTGGGGACAGGACCCCAAGAACATGAAGTTCTAGAATGCTTGGGGCTGCTTGGACTGGGACAGCGTAGTGGCGGAGCTAGATGGAGCCTGGCCTTGTTGTCCCTGACTTCCCTTTGTCAGAGGATGCTCAGTGGGTCTCTGTGGTTTCCCTGCTTTCTCAGCCCTGCTCTCTCTTACATCCCAGCTCCCCCAGCATGAGGCGGGGGTGGGGGGGGCGGTGTAGGAGATCAGCCAGGGAGCCCGTTGCCAGGCGACAGTTGCCTAAGCAACCCCATCCTCTCCATCTCCATGTGCTCAGGGCTGCTCCTTGGAAGACTTAGAGTCTCACCCTCTGCACCAGCCGACCCAAGGGTGGGCGAGTTGAGAAGCAGGAGTGGTTGGAGGGAAGGTGATGTCTAGAGGGACAAGATTCAGGACAGCCAGGAGACCAAGTTTCTCTACCACAGAGGTTAGAGTGGGGGGAGCTGATCCTGTAGCAGGACTGATGGAAGTTAGATTCACGAAAGATTTCTCACAGGGTCACAGCAATGAAACAGTTCTTTCTATCTTTCAACAGACTTTTCCTGAGGCCACCTTACAGGGGGCAGATGAATGAAAAAGACAGATGTAGTTCCTGCTCTCAGGAAACTTCAGTCTTACAGCAGAACCAGGCATTAACTAGAAGCACAGAGTTATAATTATTTGAAGCTGTGTTAAGTGCTAGGAAGAAAAGGATACCCTGAGAGCAAGTGTTGAGGCCACCAAAGGAATGAGGTGAGGTAGCAGGAGTGACATTAGAGGGTCCTGAGAGCATGAGCTGATAGAGGTTACATCTTGATTGATATAGTTTATGCTCAAAAGGTGGAAAAGAGACAATAAGGGAGAAGGTAGGCACCAGAAGCCAGAGGAGTGTTACAGGGACTGCATTTACCAGTCTGAATGGGGGTGTTGCAGGTCAGAGTCCTATTTACAAAGCCCTTTTCTTAGCCCCTCACCTCTTCAGTGTGTCTTGTCCACCTTCCTTGCAGCTCTAGAAAATAGAAAATACAGCCTTTGGGGCCTCCCTTGTGGCCTACGGATAAGTCTCAGTGCTATCACCATCACCACCAAGGCCCACACTAAATCCCTGCCAGGGAGCTGACCACATGGCGCAGCAGACCTCTCCTGTGTCTCTAGCTGCTCCCCTCAGCAGTGGGTTTCATTCAGTCCACCTGTTCTGCTCCTCACTCTGTCTCTGGTGAGTCCTCTCACCACCCCCCTCAACCTCCTGCCCTCCCCTCCCTCCCTTCCCCTGCATGTTTGGCCTACACCCCAGTTCTTGTATGCATAAATAAATAAATAAATCTTTAAAAAAGAAAGAAAATACAGCCATTGAATTGCACTGGGAAGCAAAGAGAACTGGAGCCTTTGTGGTGGGGGTTTGGCAGATTGGGGTCACAGGCAAGGAATGGAGAGTCTGCTGGGCTACTCAGAGCTGACTGGGCTGGTGTTGGTGTTGTCCTAGGGTTGGTTTGTGGGTGGGGAGGGTTGGAGGCTTGGGGCCCATGGAGCATCTTTGTCTTCAAAGAAGAGGGAACCAGGGTAGGGATTCTCTAAAAGGAGAGGGGGGTGGAACTGCACTGTTGTCTAAACACATGGACAGAGCAGAAGCTCCTTCTAGTCCTGGTATTGGAAAAGGTGAGGAGGGGTCCTGACTTCCCCCAAGTGCATAGCCTCCCCAGCCTTCTCTCTCCCTTTTCCCCAGGGCCAAAATGCTAAGATTGATCTTCACCATCTACTGTGGTATCCTGGGGGCCACGAATGAGTGGAGCTGGAAAGGCTCTGGGGATGCACACTGGCGGAAGGAGCCATAGGAATGGGGCTGAAGAAGGGGTTCATAGTTGCAGTTACAAAGTTACAGTTATATATCCTTGGTACCCCAGTGATATCTCTGCCCAGGTTGGAGAGGGGGAGGTGAGCACTCACTTTCTGTGCACAGTGGTGGAGTCTGTGGGCAAGGGCTCTGTGGAAAGGGAATCCTGGAGGGGGAGGGCAAGAAGTCTTGGCCCAGACTTCTCCCAGGACCCAGTTGCAGCAGCTTTTAGAAAGCCTGGGCCCCGTGCTCACTGCCTTCTCCACCATCTCCCAGAAGGCTCCACCTCTGATTCTCCTGGAATCCTGTAGAACTGAGGGGGTCCAGCGGTCATGCGGTCATCTCATCCGATGCCACCATCCTATCCCGTCCCTTCCCAGTCCCCCACACTCACCTAGCCTGTTTGGGCACTGCCCACCCCTGAGAACATGGATCTCTGCTCGCTCAGGCTGGACTCTCACCCATGCCACAGTGCTTTGGGGGCTGTGTATTGCGGGAGCTCTTTCTCTTCCAGGCTCTGGCCTTGGGAGCTCCCCAGCAGGTGGGCTGTTGTTGGTTTGGAGGTATACTGAGCTGGATCCCCACTGATGCCTGCATCCCCTGGGCTGCCAGCGGCCTCCTTTGTCTGTGTAGGAGGCTCTGGATTTTCTCTGTGTGTTTCAAGGTGAGCAGGGTTGGGAAGCACCTAAGCTCCCGCTCTTCTACTTACCCCTTTAGAGTAGGAGTCAGCAAATTCTGGCCTGGAGCCAAGTTCCCACCATGCTTGTTAGTGTAGATTTCATGTTGCAGAACACAGCCTCACTCTTCGTTTGTGTTGTCTACAGCCACTTCCCGCTACAATGGCAGAGTCCAGTAGTTGCAACAGACTGTGTGGCTTGTAGAGCCTGAAATATTATCATTTGGGCCAGGTAGCAAAAATGTTTGGCCATGCCCCACTGAGTAAAATGAATTGGTGTTGAAGATCCCTGGTTGAAAGGAAATAAGGGTTCTGTAGCACCAGCTCTACTCTGGAACTCTGGGGTACCATGAGAGGTGTGAGAACCTCTCCTTAGACCTGCCTTCTGTTTTCTTGAGCTGGGGGCACAGAGAGACTCCCATCCTGGCACTAGGAACACTCTAGGAGCCAATTCATGGACTCAGCAGGTCTTTGTTGGCATGGTCTCCCACCAGACTCCAGAACTGGGCCCAGGGGCAACTGGCAGCCCAGGGGTCTTCACTGGTTGGGCTCTGGGGAGAAGTAAGGGGGATGGGTATTCTCTAAGACCTAGACTCTTAGAAGCTGGGAGCTCTCCAGACCATCTGACTTGGAAGCTGAGGGTGTAGAAAGACCCTGCACTGGAGTTCTGGTCCTCCAGCTTGAGTGCCAGCCTGTGCCTCTCTGTAACATTTCCTCATTTTGAGGATGGACTTAGATGCTGCTACTGATTTCTGTGGGCATTGTAAGCCTGATCTGTGAGCTCCAGGAATGGGGCTGAGGAGGGCAGGGCTGATAGTTACCTTGTACCCCTCTCTCTCCCTCAGGAGCTGTGTATAGGGTGCCCTGCAGATCATGAACTGAGTGCTGGTGCCAGAACGTTCATGAGCACAGTGTAAGGTGTGCCGAGACCATCACCCAGCGACCCCCTCCCTTCCCTTGCACTGAGGATCCCCAGAGAAGATGGGGAGGAAAAAGATTCAGATCCAGCGAATCACTGATGAGCGGAACCGACAGGTCAGGAGGGCCTAGAGCTGGGACATGGGGGGCAGGAGACCAACCTCTGCTCCCATTCCTTCTCATCACTCCAGAAGGGTTTCCAGAAGAAGGGGACTGGAGGAGGTATCATGAAAGGGGAAGGGGCCCTCACCTACCTTCAGCTCCCAGAACTTCCAGCCTAGTCTACTAAGACAACCAGATGGACCTGTGCCCCAACCTAGAACAAATGCAAGCCTCAGGCCACACCCAGGCACTCCCTTTCCCCCGAGAATTCTTCTCTTCCTACCTCAGGGCAATCCCTTCTGTTCTCTTTCCTTGACCTCTGTATAGTCCCCAGCACAGAGATGTGGAGTTCTGTCCCTAACTCCTCTCTCACTGAGAAATGACTCTTGCCCATGTGCGGCAGAGAGGTGTTGGTCTCTCCCTTCCCACACTGGGGGCCGCTGATAACAGGGCAGTCACCCTGGGAATAGAGCTCCTGAGGGAGGGACAGCGTCCAGCGGCCTGTCAGTTGGACCTTCTGGGCAAGCCTGATTGGACCAGACTTGGCCTCTCCCTGGTCCCCTTGCAGGTGACGTTCACCAAGCGGAAGTTCGGACTAATGAAGAAGGCCTACGAGCTGAGCGTGCTGTGCGACTGTGAGATCGCACTCATCATCTTCAACCACTCCAACAAGCTGTTCCAGTATGCCAGCACCGACATGGACAAGGTGCTGCTCAAGTACACCGAGTACAACGAACCGCACGAGAGCCGGACCAACGCCGACATCATCGAGGTGGGCTGTGCACACGTGTGTGTACACCTGTCCTCTAGCCCCTCACCTGTGCACACGCAGAAACCCACATCCTCTCACACAGCCTTGGCCGAGGTGGAAGGAGGGCAGTGAGGTAGCTCTCGCACTGGCCCGCTGTTTCACCTTCTGAGTCTTTTTCATGTCTGCCAGGCCAGACAGACCTCTCACCACCCGTCTCTCAAGTCCTTTCTGCACCCCCTTTGGTTTGTCTTGCACTGGTCCTTTTTCTTTCTTTGCCCCTCTATCCCCATTTCTATCATGATATCTCTGTCTCTTTGTGGGTTCCTATGGCTCTACTTTCTCTCAAAGAGCCGAGACATGGTAAACTGCTGCAGGACATGGCTTAGGGCTCCAGCTCTGGCCTTTACTGGCCACACGACCGTGGGAAGTTGGCCTCTTGAAGCCTTGCTGTCCCCTTCCGCGAAGTGGGGCCAGTGCCAGCTTTGAAGAATGTTGTGTGATTGGAATGAGATGTCCTGATTCCCACTTCTTAAGACAAGGTCTATGTACCTTGGGGCACAAAATGTGTGTCTGCAAAGAGGGTGTGAGAAGCCACATACTATCTCCCTTTTTGGAGTGAGACTTTAACTCAAAGATCTGGAATACGTTCTTTTATTTTTCTGTTAGAGAACACAGATTTACTTAGACTAGAATATAAAATTTGCATTCATTTTAAAGACAAAACAAGCATCTGTGAGGCTATTTTGAGTACAGAGTGGGCAGTTTTGGGGTCTTCTTCAGACCCACCAGGTCTATCCCTACTTTCTTCAGGTAGTGCAGTGGACAGGTGTGGGAAAGTTGACCTCTGGGCAAAGATAGATAGTGTAGGGTGGTTCACAGTAGCCACTCAGCAAATGCGAAGAAATGCTGTATGCCTTTCCCCCTCTTACCTCCTTCTCCATCTGTTTCTCTTTCTCTTTTCTAAATTGACTCCAAGGATTGAACTGGCCTAAGCCAGGCCTGACTGCCTTCCCCTGTGAAGTGCTCCTCAGCCTGCCGCCTAGACAGCTCCCACCCTATCTGTGGTCTTGGAAGTACCCATCTCTGGTTTACATTTCCTGGGCTAGGCCTGCCTTCCTGGAGATAACCCCCGACCCCAAAATCATGATGCCTCTCTGACAGCCTTTTATTTCTTCACACAGAACTGCCACTCCAGAGGGGAGGTTGATAATGAGGGAGGGTGTGAGGGGGAAGCATGGGGGTTCTTAGGGAAGGGATAAATGGAACTCCAGGGAGGTAGATGGGGGAGGGCCCTCATCCCCACTGATGGTGGCGGTGGTGGTGGTGGTGGTGGTGCGGTTACAGACCCTGAGGAAGAAGGGCTTCAACGGCTGCGACAGCCCCGAGCCTGACGGGGAGGACTCGCTGGAACAGAGCCCCCTGCTGGAGGACAAGTACCGGCGCGCCAGCGAGGAGCTGGACGGGCTCTTCCGGCGCTATGGGGTGAGCCCCACTCACACTCTCTCTCTGTTGGCCCCCCTTCCGGCCCCTTCCCCCCAGGCGCTGCACAAGAAGCACAGGGAGTGTGAGAGCCCTGAGGTGGACGAGGTGTTTGCCCTGACCCCCCAGACGGAGGAGAAATATAAAAAGATAGACGAGGAATTTGATAAAATGATGCAGAGTTATAGACTGGCCGTGAGTAGTCGCATGGAGGAAAGCCTCCCTGTGGTGCATGGTGTGGCTTCGCGCCCTGCCCCGGCCCTGGTGGATGTTCTGCTCGGAGCCATGCTGGGGCTGTTGGTGATCACTCAAGAACCTCTGACCTTGGTTCTGATAAACCTGGGACCCTTGCTGAGACTCATGTTGTATGGAGTATAACCAGGAGAGGCTTGGATTGTCCCTCTACCAACAAAAGTGTGTAGAGGAAGTGAGATCTTTAGATGACAGGGAAGTAGAAAATGGATGCTCTTTGTCCAAATCTTTTTGGGGGAAATGTCTCCTTGGGCCTTCTCTAACACCTCTACCCGAGGTACTCAATAGTGTTCATTGGGGAAGCAGAAATTGCTAAAGGGAAAGCAATGAGATGGGGATGAACGCCTTTTGTAGTAGGCCTGGTGGGTTGCAAGTGAAATGGTGCCCTGATCCATGGTGCAGGCCTTAACAGTTATGTGTGTGAGTTTGGGCCTGTACTCAGGGTCTCTAACCTGCTCCCTGTGTGTCCTGCCTGGCTGAGGACTAACCCACCTCCAGTAGGATGGTTCCAGGTGTCTCTGGTCCTTTCTGCAGTGATCAGAGCTTTGCTCTCATTCTCTGGGCCAGAATTGGATCCCAGTGCATTCTCACTAATGTACTTCCATCATGGGAGTGACAGGCAGAACTCCAAGAGGGCCCAGGGCAGAGAAATGGAGCTGCTGGACCTTGGATGCACAGCCCAGAGACTAGAACCCAGCCTGCCCTTCCAGATCAAATGGGTTCAGGGTAAGGGATTGCCGTCACCTCACCCTGCGTCTCCATTTTCTATTTAGTCAGCTGTCCCAGCCCCCAACTTTGCCATGCCTGTCACGGTGCCCGTGTCCAATCAGAGCTCACTGCAGTTCAGCAATCCCAGCAGCTCCCTGGTCACCCCTTCCTTGGTGACATCATCCCTCACGGACCCACGACTCCTGTCCCCCCAGCAGCCAGCACTACAGAGGAACAGTGTGTCTCCTGGCCTGCCCCAGCGGCCAGCCAGTGCAGGTGAGTGGGCTAGGAGGTGGGAGGTGGGTGCAAATGAGTTGTAGTGGGGACTTTGAGATCCCATTTTCTACCTTTATGTGGCTCCTCCAAGGGAAAGAATGTTGACACCCTCATCTCATGGTTGTTTTCTCTCCAGGGGCCATGCTGGGGGGAGACCTCAACAGTGCTAATGGAGCCTGCCCCAGCCCTGTCGGTGAGAAGCTGCCCCCTGCTAAGGGGTGGGGGGTCTGGCTCTTTAGTGGCCCCAGGGTACCAGGAACCAGGGAGGACCCAGATTAGAGGAAAAGAAGATCCCAGGGTCTGAAGTGAATGTAGAGCTTGAAGATTTTTAAGTCTTGGATTTTTTTGTGTGTAGCAGCGAGTGGTGCGATGATCATCAGATATGTAGACTCAGGAAATTCTGGGCAAACTGAGAATGAACCACACTTTTAGTTGGAGCGGTCATCCTTGTGTTCCAATTGAGTGGGGACCTGAAGGATGTGAATACCCAGTGTTGCCAACAGCTTGCACGTGCTCACACATGCTGACCCTCTCACTCTTATGGGAACATCCAGACATCAGATGTACACTGAGCATATTCTGTGAACCACAGAAGAAAGGCCGCCATCCCACTCCACCCTGCTTCTGGCAGCTGAAAGCCCCCCCTGCCACGTGTCGTTGTCCGGCTGGTGACTGTGACTTCGAATGTCACCATTGACGTCAGCCTGACATTCCTACCATTCCCAGAGTGATCCGGGAATTGGGATGGAGGCAGACACACACTTCCAGAGCAGCCGTGTGCTCCCAAGGGACAGAGCAAGGTGACATTTCTAACTGTGGCCACCCCTACATCTCTGAGTTTTAGAATATCCAGATTATTGAGCGGCACCATACAATAATTAGGGTCAGGAAATGGGAGGAATGAGTGAATCTTTTTTCCAAGGAGAAAGACAGAGAAATGCTTGCAGACCTTAAGGAAGCAGTGATGCTTACGGGCCCTCAACCCTAGCATTTGAGAAGTGGCTTCTAGCCCGCTGTGTGACCCTAGCTGAGTCATCACACCTCTGCCAACCAGGCCTCCAGTCTCCTCTAAACAGGGCTAATGATACATGCCCCGTTTGTCTTACAAGCTTACTGTGAACATTAAATGAGATAATATGTGTGTGAAAGCCCTGTGTAGATTGTGGTGTGTGGAACAAATGTAAAAGATAGTTATTAGGGGCCCTCCCTGGTGGCGCAGCAGGTTAAAGCACAGCACAAAGAAGCTAAGGTCACTTCCGCATGAGTTCAATGCCCACCTGCCCCAGAGGTGACCCACCCGCTGCTCCTCTCAGCAGTGTACTTCCTCGATCTGCCTGTTCTGCTCCCCACTCTGTCTCTGGTGAAGCCTCTCACTCTGGCCTGTACCCCAGTTCTGTATGAATAAATAAATCTTTAAAAAAAAAAGATAGTTATTAATGCTTGTTTTTACCAGTCTCATTATTGGGGTGACTGGTTATTAATCCCCCAGTGCTAGTAGCATCACCACCACCAGTGAACGGCTTGTCTTCCCAGAACTGTGTGCATCTTGTGTGCCAGTCCAAAGCACAGCATTCCCAAAGAGAGCAGTCTGAGTGGCCTGTTCACCCTAGTAATGAGGTTCCTCACTGAGGCCTAAATTCCAGGCTGGTAGCCCTTCTCCATCCTGGGTCTTTATGGATCTGATTAGGACCAGTTTGTGAGGTGGGAAGATGCTGGACTTTCTGTCCATGGAGACCAGAGAAAAGTTAGGGAGAGAAGTTGCAGGTCTTTGCCATTTCTGCTTCTGGTTCTTCCCACAGTGTCAGTTCCTACTACCCAGCTCCATAGCTTTTGATTAAAAAGTAAGGTGGGGAGGGGGGCCTTCCTGGTGGCGCAGCAGTTAAAGCACAACACTACAAAGCCTGCCACCACTTTAGCATGAGTTTGATCCCCAGCCAGGGAGGTGACCCACATACCATGGCAGACCTCTCCTGTCTCGCCTGCTGCTCCCCTCAGCAGTGTACTTTGTTAATCTGCCTGCTCTGCTCCCTACTCTGTCTGTGGTGAATCTTCTCACCGCCCCTGCACCTCTGGCCTGCACTCCAGTTCTGTATGCATAGATAAATAAATCTTAAAACAAAAGTAAGGGGTATTTTCCCCCTACTACTAAGATGAGATGGTTTTGTGGGAATATCAGATAACTTGGTGCCTACTCAAAGCCTGTGCGTGGCTTTGAAATGGGTTGGGTGACAGGAGAGTTGGGTTGGAAACAGTTAATGGCTCAGGGGTAGGTCTACTTTTTTCCTTTCACCTCAATCTCTTCACTTCTCCAGGGAATGGATACGTCAGTGCTCGGGCTTCCCCTGGCCTCCTCCCCGTGGCCAATGGTAACAGCCTAAACAAGGTCATCCCTGCCAAATCTCCGCCCCCGCCCACCCACAGCGCCCAGCTTGGAGCCCCCAGCCGCAAGCCTGACCTGAGGGTCATCACTTCCCAGGGAGGAAAGGGGTTAATGCATCACTTGGTGAGTAGGTGTTGGATTGAGGGGGAAGGGTTGGGCAGTGGGGGAGTCAGGATGGGGCTAGGGGCAACCTCCGGCAGGAGAGATGAAGGTTAACCTACAGTCAGGACTTGCCCAGAGAGATTATAAAAGCATGGCTTTTCATAGACTCTCTGTTCCCAGAAGGCCTCATAAGAGCTTGGAAAACAGAAAAACAGCCTCAAGAACGGTGAAAAGAGGCAAGAAGTGAGAGAGAAGTTTCTGTGCTGGAGTATAACAAGAGGGACTTGCCATGACAGCAGAGGGATGAGATTAGATGGTGAGGGTTTGCTAACTGGTAGGCAGTGGGATATAGCATCTTCTGGAAATGAGTTAGGATTATGAAAAACTCTCCTACTAGGCCAGGAAGAGCCATCCTGTACCTATGCAGAAGGGGAAATGGCTTGGCTATGGGGGAAGGGTGTGAGGGGAGACTAGAGACTGAACATCCCTTGGTTTTATTTCTGCTCCCAGACTGAGGACCATTTAGATCTGGTAAGTGAAACTGTAACATGTTTGCTGTGGCTTTGAGTTCTGGGGCAGTTCGTGACTGTGTGGCCCCCAGCATGACGTACATGTGGACTTCATCCTTTCACCTGTGTGTGTGGTGTTTGTTTCTTTGGTTGTTTGCCAGGATCTTAGCGCAGTGCCGGTGGGATGGAGATTGACTGGGGTGAAGGAGCGGGGCTAGACGTGCATGCGTGCGTGCCTGTGTGTATAAGAACGTCCTTTTGTGAAGTTGCATTCAGGCAGACACACTTTTCCTTTTTGTGGGTGTGTGTGCACACGCATATACAAAGAGAGGGGGCCAGCCTTGAGCCTCAAAGATTTCATCTTGATGAGGCCCTTGGATCAGGGGCTGGAGCCCACTTGCCCTCTAACTCCACTAAAGGAGGACAGGGACCTCCTTCCAAGGAATGCCAGACAGCAGAAAGACAGCACAATTAGTTTTTCAGAGGTAGCTGAGGCCCAAGGCAAGGCCAGAATCATGGTGGGGGGAGGGAAGAGGACTTTCCCACCTTTCCACTCTCTCCCTCTTCACACCACCTTGTCTTACCGGCACTGAGGCATACGCCGCCTCACCCTCTCATGTACACACTTACATACTCCCCCTCAGCCAGGAGTGGGGCGGGGGCTCCTCCCTAACTCCTGACGGAAGGCCAAAGAGGCTGGAAAAGGCAGGCACGCTTTGGCGGCCAACACGGCGGCAGTTTCGGCCCCAGCGTGGAGTTGGAATAAACAAGTGACTCAGCAGCAGATGGAGCTGACAGCCCCACACACGTGTGTGCATACACGCAGGCACACGCCACGCCGGGCCCCGCATTCCCCTCACAGATGCCAGCACGCTGCTCCCAGGGCGTGTGCCGCAGTGTGATGGATGGAGAGCAGGCTGCAGAGGGACGTGCCAGAAGTGTCTCTCCCCTTCAGCAGCTTCTCTAGGAGACTGGGGCCCCTACTGGGTGGGGGCCCCTAGGCTGGCATGTATGCCATCTTCTGCATGTGTATAGGTGTGAAGGAAGATGTGTGTACGTGTTCTCATGGATCTCAGTACCTCTGTGAAAAGCACGAACATGTGTTTGTTAATGCAGCCTTTATGCTAAGATACCCCCTTGGGCTTCAGGGGCCCCAGTGTGGACTTGGGATGGAGGGGAGGGGCGAGGACAAAACAGTCCACCCATCTGCTACATCTTAACAGATAATTTTCTCCTGCAGAACAATGCCCAGCGCCTTGGGGTCTCCCAGTCTACCCACTCACTTACCACCCCAGTGGTTTCCGTGGCAACACCAAGTTTACTCAGCCAGGGCCTCCCCTTTTCTTCCATGCCCACTGCCTACAACACAGGTGAGTGTTGGTATGACCTGTAAGTGACTGTACTTGTTTGGGGGCAGGGGAGAGCCCAGAAAGAGAACATGAGATATTCCTTGGAGGACACCCCCCTCTGAGAAAGGTTAGTGATCCTGAGGAGCCCCACCTAGTTATAATTGCCAGATTTAGTGAATAAATATAGAATGATAATTTACTTCAGATCAAAAATGATGAATAATTTTTAGTATGTCTCAAACACATTCTGCTAAAATATGTCCTAGAAACATATGCTAAAACATTATTTGTTGTTTTTTCTGAATTTGGTTTTCATATCCTTAATTTTGAATATAGAACCTAAGAGAGAAGGGCGGCTTGCTCTGTCCTTAGGGCACCTCCCATCTGAGAAATAGCCAGTGAGCTGAGCAGATGACTCAGACCAGCCAGGGCCTGGGAGTGGGGAGGAGACCATACTCAGTTCGGCAGGACTTGGAGGAGGAGGCTAAGGAGGCCAGAGAGGAAGGGTGATTAGGAAGATTCGCCCCAGCTTCCTGGGGAAGCCAAGCACAGAATCAGGGGAAGGAGGAGGCAGCCCTGATTTTCCCTTGGCAAGGAGGAGAAGGAATGTGACTGGTAAAGGCGGCAGAGGAGTCTGAAGGTGAAGAGTCACTGGGAGACGTGAGAGGGGTCTCTGGGTAGAAGAATTCAGACAGGACACCCAGTGCCCAGACTCTCCCAGGCCCCCAGGGCCGTCCTGACTCATGTCACCCACTCATACCCTCCTGGGAACAGCCTGTGATCCTCTCAGCCGTCCTCACCTGGACTCTTGTCAGGACTTCCCAGTGGGAAATATCTTGTCTCCTGTCTCAGTCTTTCTGCGTCTGGGGAAGTTGATCTACCCCACTCTCTTGAGTGGATAAGATCTGACTAGACCAAAAGACCCCCCCCCTCCCTCCCCCTGGAGATATTTCAGATATATCAGGTCCCAGACACCAGTACCTGTACCTACAGAATCCCACCTCTTCCCCATGTATGAAAATTCCAAACCCAGCCCTGGTGTAGGAAAGCCCCGAGGCTCTGTCCAGATTTGATCCCTCTGGTGCCTCCAAACCCCCTTGGCCCCCTTGTGTGTGCTCCCCTGCCTCCACCCACTTCCAGGTGATGATGTCCTTGAGCTGCTTGAGGTGTTTCAGGTGGTGGCACCTCTGGGCCCAGTCTCCTCACTTGTTTGAGCTGCGGATGGACAGAAAGTCTCTGAGGCACTTCCAGTTTTGCCAGCCAGAGGTCTGGGGCCTGCCTAAAAAGCCAGTGCAGTGCGGGCTGATGGGCAGGCTGCTTGACAAAGGATAGTGCCAAACCACCTTTTGGGGCTGATGTTTATTTGAAAGTCCTGTGGCAGTTTTCTGCCGTATTCGTAGGTGCTGGCTAGTCTTTATGAAGCAGTAAGGAAGTCAGTGGTGGTGGATGCAGGGCAGGTGCTCAGCGAGGCCAAGCTTTCGACTTTCTCAGCCCATTCTGAAAGCAGGTTCTGAGCTGGCCCTGCCCTTGGAGCCTTGCTAGGAAGCATGTGGGCTTTCTCACATCCTCAGAAACAGGGGTTCCAATCCCTCTTGCTGTGGGAGGACTGAAACAGACATCTGGTGGAGAAACAGGTGTTTTCAGGTACGAAAGGTATATAAACAAAGCCCCAGAGAACACATTGCTGTGTGGTTGTTCACAGTGTACGGTCCTTGGCCCTGACTCAAGTTCCGCCTGGGGGTGAGCAGACTGTGGTGATGTCTTGGGTGAGGGACCGTCCTGGCCCCTTGTTGACATCGGTTGCAGAGATGTGACTGTGACTGCTCTAGGAGCAGATCTAGTGGGCTGCATGGTGGCCTGTGGGTGTGTTGGTCCTGGCCCCAGAGAGCCAAACCTTTAGTCGATAGGGCTGGTCTGTGGTAGGAAGGTGGGGAGCAGGCTTTAGGGTACCATTCACTCTGAAGGACACTGGGCCACTACTGTCTGGGATTGGCTCCCTTGTTTATAAAATGAGTGTTGGAGTTAGCTGGCCCTGAGCGCCCATTTTGCCCTTAGCCTGCTTTTTACATAAAAGCACGCAGCTCCTGGTGAACTGTTGTGAGCCCACAGACAAGCATGGACCACTCTAGGGTGAGGAAGTTAATACAGAATCCTGCAGTCTTATCTTACCTCTCCCTTTCCCTCCGGGTTCACTCTGATCTGGGCAAATGAGACTATAGTTACCACATTTGTAAAGTAATAATCACACGGGTGAATCTGATGAATTCTCCCATGTGCCTGACTCCATTCTACATGTTTCATGTGTGTCAGCTCAGTTTATTCTCACAACAGCTGTGTGATGCGGGCAGAATTGTTCCCTCTAGTTTATAGACTGAGAATAAATGATGGACCCAAGGTCACATGACCTTTTAGTGGAGGTCGCCAGGAAGTTTGACCTCACACTCTGCCCTTAACCTTACTACTCTATGGCAGGAGCTGGAGTGACAGTCCTGGGAGTGAGCATGGTGGTGTCGTGTTGAGATGGCAGAGATGTGCTTCCCCATGACACCATGCCCTCCTGCCACTGAATTCCTCAGGCACGACATTTTCTAAACTGTCCCAAACAGGATGCAGCCTGAAACATAGCAGTGCCGTTTAAATTGTAAAAGGTTTCATAAGTTCTGTTTGTTCTGCAGCTCAGACATCACAGTTTCTTCATTAAGATGGAATTCTTAGGAAATAATGAGCACCACCTCCCGGGGGCTCTGCCAGAGTGTGGCAGGAATGTTTCCCGACAACCCCCTTGCCCCCACAGGCCCTTCGGGGTAGCACATGTGTGCCCTCTGTGTGTGCGCGTGGGTGCAGCGGCTTGGACCCTCGCGCCACATAGTTATGTGTTGACAGTCTAGGAGCCTCGGTGGGATGATCGTCATGGTAATTTGCTACTGCTGTGACATTTGCTTGTTGCTTCCTCCATCCCAAAAAGGCACTTTTGAAGACTCTGCAGTTGAAAGTGACAGTCAGACATATATTAGACCTTTCCTTCTTACCTTTTCCCCCTCCTTTTTGTAAATTGACATTTACTACACGTGGTTTAAAAAAAAGTTAAATACTATATTTTAAGAAAAATCTCTTTTCATCCTCTTTAACAGCACCTCATAGTTACTACAATTTGCATTTCTTAACTGAGTGCCATCTTCACTGAATTTGTATGGGCTTGTTTAATTCTTCACATCTGTCATTAACAACCCCCCATATCTCAGGGCCTCCTGGAGACTCCCCCTTGGGAGCCTCAGTCCTCTGTTTCCCCCCCACACACAGATTACCAGTTGACCAGCGCAGAGCTCTCCTCCTTACCAGCCTTCAGTTCTCCTGGGGGGCTGTCGCTAGGCAACGTCACCGCCTGGCAGCAGCCGCAACAGCCCCAGCAGCCACCACAGCCGCAGCCTCCGCAGCCCCAGCCGCAGCCGCAGCCCCAGCCGCCCCAGCAGCCGCAACAGCCACCTCAGCAGCAGCCCCACCTGGTCCCCGTGTCTCTCAGCAACCTAATGTGAGTCCTGGGGGATTCCAGACGAGTGTCTGGGAAGGCAGAATGGATGGGTGGGAAGAGGAGGCCTCTTGAGGACTGGGTTCCCGCTGAGGTTGTCATTAGTGGATAGGAAGTCAGAACTAAGTGGCACCCCTTTCCAGTATGGGGCCCTTCCCCAGTCAGCCCCTGGGACGGGTCCTCCCCAGACTGCAGAAGATGACATGGGAAGTAAGAGAACTAATGTATTTATTTCCCTTCTTTCCCCACCACTTCACCCCCTCTCCTCTGGCCTCTGGCCTCATCCGCTTGTCTGTTACCTCTTCCCAACACCCTCCTATTCTCTGTCCTTTCTCATACTCTGTCTTGTGACTTTCTGTTTATCTGTTTTCCTCTTTACCTCTTGTTTCTGTTGCCTGTGCCCCATCCACATCACCGTTCTCCAGCCCGGGCAGCCCCCTGCCCCATGTAGGTGCCGCCCTCACGGTCACCACCCACCCCCACATCAGCATCAAGTCGGAACCGGTGTCCCCAAGCCGGGAGCGCAGTCCCGCGCCTCCCCCTCCAGCTGTGTTTCCAGCTACCCGCCCTGAACCCGGCGATGGTCTCAGCAGCCCTGCTGGAGGCTCCTATGAGACGGGGGACCGGGACGACGGACGGGGGGACTTCGGGCCCACGCTGGGCCTGCTGCGTCCAGCCCCAGAGCCCGAGGCTGAGGGCTCTGCTGTGAAGAGGATGCGGCTGGATACCTGGGTACTGTAGCATCACCTTCTTGTCTGCCAGTGTCTGCTGCACCCAGGGACTGCTCCCTCTGCCCCAGCCTGTCTTAGCTCCCACCTCAGAGGCCTTGTGGCCAGCTAGCCCTCCCATCAGCCCTCTGGATCAGCACCGACATCCTTTTGCCCCTTTCCTCCAGCATCAATCTTGCCCGATGACTCCCCCTCGGAGCTGGCCCTGCCGCCAGAATCCTGGCCCTATGGGGAGAGGGAGTGGGGGTGCATACCCCATAACCTGGGCCCCCCTCACACTCCCTTCTCCATCTCCTCTCTTCACAGACATTAAAGTGACGATTCCCACTCCCCTCCTCTCAGCCTCCCTGATGAAGAGTTGACAATCTCACCGCCCACCCCTCCCTGTCCTGGCCTCTTCCCGCTCGACCCCCACTTCCTTTCTTGTGCTCCGTGTCCTGTTGACGGTTACATTTGTGTATAATTATTATTATATTATTATTATTATTATATTTTTTTTAATTTGGATTCTCGCTTTGGAGAGGGGATGCTTCCATCCCCTCTTTCTGCACCCCCACCATTTTCACTGGCTGGGGGGAGCTCTTTTTTGCGGGAAGGGGGGGACACTTTGCACGTTGTACACATATGCTGCAGGAGGGGGTGGGCCCAGTAGGCCTTTGGGAAAGGACAGGTGTGGAGCCCTGCATGCGGAGCCCTCCCACCCGTCCCCCAGACGGAGGGACATAACCAAAAACCTACCAAACGACGAAACCCCTTACAATAGACTGAAACCCCGAAGTCAGCCTGATGGGTGGGTTCGTGTTTCCGGGGGAAACACGAGGTCCTGGAAGGGATCTCTGCTTCCGGACTGTTCCTTTGGCCACAGGCATATGGGGCAGAATACCCAAGTCTGGGCCCCCAATGCCCCTGCATACACACAACACACTCTTGCTGATTCTTGTGTGAACTGCACCCTCAAGGTGTAGAGGTGCTGGCCAGGCTTTGGGGCTGGGGAGACTGCCTGGGAATCTGAGGCTGGGGGGGAGGGTATGGGATGGAGGCTCCTGAAGCACATTTGGAGAGAAAGACAGAGCCATGAGGAAAGGGCTGAGGGAGGCAGAGGGCTGGGGCAAGGGGTAAGTGGGGCCTCCTCCCTTCCCCAGCGTTTCCTTTAAGATATACAGTGCAATAGCTCCCGGCCCCTCAGTTGGCCTCAGCCCTACAATGCTGGCCGCACAGTACAGGGAGAATTGGGGAGAGGACTCTAGTGGGGTGGCTTAGCAGGAGACGCCCTGGGCCCCTGGTTTCCAAGGACTGTACCTTTCATCTAGGGGCAGAGTGTGAGTGAGGGGGTTTCTCTTCCTTGCACGCACACATCCCAGAGAGCAGAAGTGGGCGGGAGAAGGGGCAGGACGGAAGAGGGCTGCAGGAGGCCTGCCTCCCTCCACCCTCCTGGCTCCTCCCCAGCCCTCCCCCCAGCTCCTTCCACGCGGGCCCACCTCTGCTCTTGGCGCCCTCATTGTCTCGCTACCTCCTGTCCCACTACCCTAGGCCGCATCCCACCTTCCCTCTTGGCTACTGTAATTGTAAATAGCAACCTTTGGAAACGTTAGCAGTGTAACAGTCCAGGAAACTGTTTTTTTTTTTGTTGTTGTTGTTGTATTGATATGAAATGAGATTCTATTTTTGTCAAAGTATATTGTAATAATAATGACTCAAACGGCCCGTACTGTACAGACAAGATTCTTCTGCTGTTGTTCTTGCTCCCCTTCCCCGAGTCTGCCCCTCTCTGCTGCCTCCCACATGGGGTGGCCGAATCATGGGGTCCTGAGGCCTCGGGTGGATCACAGATCAAACTGCAGCTGGCAGGCCTCTGTCCTGCTCTCCACCACCACCGCCATCCCGCCCTGAGGGACCTGACCTGGGGCAGACAGGGGTCCCCAGCTCCTTCACATAGGCCCAACTCCTCTGCCCAAGGGTCATCACTCCCTTGGGGTTTCCTCCCTGTGGGAAAGCAGAGTTAGGCCCAGTTTCAAGATAGCTGACTGTCATTGCCGACCTCTGTGACCCAGCCACTTGCAGTATTTCAACACTTGATGCAGGGAAGGAGCCAGAAACTGGAGTGTGTGTGACCACATGTGCACCTGAGAGCGTTCACGAAGGCATCTGGTGTTCATGTGTCCGAGTGTGCCGTGGAAAGAGAGAGAGAGAGTGTGTGTGTGGTTGCACAGGTGTACCATTGTGTCTGAGCCTGGCCGGGCATCTGGGTGATTCTGCATGAGCCCTGCAGTGTGGGGGGGTGTGTGTGCCTGCTTGTGCACACGAGGGGCAGGTGGCTCCTGCCAGGCCGTAGAGCCCTGGCTTCCAGCTCCATGGCCTCTCTGAGCCCCGCCCTCTTCCTTTCTGCTACTTCACCTGTTGTCATCCACTCAGATATGTCTGTACCACCATTAGGGGTCTGGCAATTGACCCTCGTTGCTTCTCCCTATAGCCCTACCTCTTCTGGGGCTCCTCACGCAAGTGTCCTCCCAGCCCCTCACCCTTACATACAGCTCCTTCCCCAAAGTAGCCTTTTTCCCTTCCCCCAGTCCTGCTTTAGACTTGAAACTCAAGTTGTTCTTCCCTAAAGCTCTTGCCCTCTAGGGCAGTAGTCTTTCCTCACAGCTACCCTCACCTACTGACTGGGTGTACACACGCCAGTCCTCCCACTTCTCCTGCAGTTTCCTAGAGGGAGTTTCAGGAATCCATGAGACTTGATCAGGGCCTTAAAGGAAGCCACAGTGTGGTCTTTGCATGCATGCATCGCTTGTCCAATGCCTGGCACATCGTTGATGCTCAGTAAATGCTGAACGGGTGACTGGTTGAATGACAGGTGCTCAATAAACATGGAAGACTGGCCTTCCCTCCTCAGGCTGTTCCCACCATCCGTCTGCCCACCTTTTTAGATTGGGAGTGGCCACCATTAAACACAAGGTGGGGGTGAGGGCCCCTGCAGTTCATGGTGCAATATTCACCAGTTTTGCCCTCTGCCTTGTAATGGCAAACCTGGCTTTTGATTTCCACGTGTGGATGTGTGTGTCCTTCTCTATTCCCGGGGGCAGGGAAGTGGTCTGTGAATGAATATGTGACATTTCTGCAGTTCAGTACCCCAAGGTTTCTCCTGGAGGTTGGGGCTCCTGGCCAGCCAGATGAATGGGTCCCTGGGAACCCAGACCTCAAGTAGGGAGTTCATTTCTTCTTTCTCTCACAAGCCAAATTTGCCTCCACCCACTCCTTCCTCCGAAGAACTGGGCACTTGCCAAAGTAATCACTGGAGTCATCCAATGCTCCTCCTCCCCTCCCCAGGTTTCCCACGGCTTTCAGGGACAGTGGGCAAGAGGACCTTCCCCACCCCAAAGGAACACACCATTTCCCCTACCCACATGAGTGCACTCAATGCAGCGAGACTGACCCCTGACCCTTACCCAGCCCTCCCCACCTCGGACAGGAAGGAAGTAATGCACCTTCTCTTGCTGATTATTTATTTGTTTGGAGAGACAGAAATGATGTAAAAGTGTATCTAGAAATATCTATATCTATATATTTTTAACTGACTCTTTGGAATCCCATGGGGTGGGATGGGGTGGGGGTGAGTTCAGGCTTTCATAGCGAGGAGGAGACATGGAGCCTGGGAACTCCTGTCTCCCCTCTGCCACCTCCTGCCACCCCTAAGCACTTGGTAGAAGGAATGGGATTTGTATGGGGGGAGGGGGGCTAGAATGTTATATGGAGAATCTGGATTCTCTCTGTCTTTCCCCATTTCCCCTTTCAGGTGGGGGTGGGGGGAGAGTAAAGGGGGGGACAGGCCGTGGAGGTGTCCCACCCCCAAACCTGACAATCACCCACACTCCTGGGGCTCCTCCTGGGTCCTGGGCAGGGCGAGTCCAAGTGTGTGGCTGTTGATTTGTTTTCGATATTTCTTTTCGTGCTGTATGGTGATGCTTTCTTAGTATTCTACACAATAAGAACAGACAAAAAGTCCTCGAGATTCTTATGAGTTTTGTTTGAAAACTCTTTCACTATATTTGTTGTAAAGAGGTTTATTATTAAAAAAAAAAAAAAGAATAATACACGTTTCTGATACTTCGGCTTGGGTTCTGGTTTCTTTGGTGCGATCGATGGCTGAGAAGGGGTGGGAAGCCATAAAAGAGCTGGGTAGCCTGTGGGGTAAGAATTTCAGGTGAAATTTTCTTGCAGGTGCTCTGTCAGAAGCAAACACAGCCTCATCACTAAGAAGGGCTACCTGGTTAGAATCAGAGCACTAGAAAAACAAAAACCATCAAAGGTCCAGCAGTAAAACTGGGCGAAGGGGGCAAGGGAACAGCATGGCGCTACTGAAAACTAGCCTGGAGGAAGCAGGCGTTTCTAGGTGGTGGGTACTCTGGAGGCAGGTGGCTTCCACCTTCATGTTCCCCGTGGTCACTCAGCCTGGTTTGCTGTCCTTCCGTCTTTTAAGATTTTATTTTTATTATGCATACAAGAACTGGAGTGTAGGCTAGAGATGTGGGAGGTGAGAGGTTTCACCAGAGACAGTAGGGAGCAGGACAGGCAGATGTACTGAAACACACTGGTGAGAGGAGAGGTCTGCTGGTCTGCCATCCCAGGAGGGTCACCTCCCTCCCAGGGCAGGGATAAACTCAGACTGGGCCTCTGCTTGATAGCACTGAGGTGTTAACCCCTCCGCCACTATGGAGGTTCCTTCCCTCTCTTTTGAACTATGTCTGTGAACCTGCTCCTCCATTTACATTCCAAAGGACCCCCCCCCAACCTGGTGCCTTTTAACAGTGGTGAGGGAGGGAGTTGGGGCCGGGGCTTTTTCTCCACATGCTGCACAGCTGTGTGAGGGACAGACTCAGGGTGGTGAAGAGACCTACAAAAGTCTTGGCTCACTGCTGTCGGGTTTGGGCATTCCTGTACCAAGCCCAGGCTAGGTGCTGCAGAGCCAGAGTATGACAGGCCTGTAAATGTTCCAGTAGCAAATGGTGTGGTGAATGCTTTGGCTGCTGCAAAAAACACGGGATCCAGGCTAGTCACAGATGTCTTCGTATCCCTGGTGACCTGTGCCAGTCCTGCCTCTCTCCCAGGGTCACTGCAGACTTCTGTCCCCCTGGTCTGCCAGAGCAGAGACAAAAAGGAGCTGAGCAGAAAGGGGTTAAGGAGAAATTACTGCCCAGATGAGGCTCCCCTGCTGGTCACTGTGGGAGCTGCAGTTTCCAAGATGGCCTCCAGTCACCCCAACATGGTATTCAGGCCCTGTGCAACCCTCTGTCACACTGAAACACATTTGGTACGTGTGACCAATACAGTATAGCAGAAGTCATGGTATTGACTTCTGAGGCTTCGTTATAACTTGTACCTGTCTGTCTCCCTTCCCCTCTCACCCCTTTGCGCTAGGTAGGGGTAGACAAGGGGGAGAGCCAGATGTCATGCAGTGGGACACTGAGGCGGGTCTGTTGGGAAGCCACATGGCAGAAAACAGCCTCCTACCTGCCCTTATAGTTTTCAGGCTTTCCCAGGCATCACCATAGGTGAGGACCTGCTGGCCCCAGGTATGCTCCAGCTTACCCATGCTGGTGAGCTCACTGGAAGAGTCTGGACCTAATACCCAAATCCTGGGTAAAATCGTAGTCCTTTTACCCTCATCTCTGCTCCTCCTTCCTGGGCGCTGCTCCCTGATGTCCTAGGTGGGTCTTATTATTGTCCACAGTTATTTCCTGGACACATCGACAACTATTTCCCAGTCTCTGTGTAGTCAAGAGGGGTCATTGGACTAGTTCTGGCCAGAAGACTGGAATGGGAAGTAAGGTGTGTTGCTTGCAAGATGAAACTGAGTGATGACTCTCTACATGCCCTTCTGGTGTGGGAGTTGTGGAAGCACATTGAGCAGCCTGGATTGCTAACTTCCATTTACGTGTTGTCCCGCCCCACACTGGACTTTGTGTGAATAGAAAATAAATGTATTAAGCCACTGAGGTTTTAGTATCACATCTTTAATACAACCTGTCTTCTGTCTGATGGACAGACAACCTTGAAGCAATCTTCTGATATGGTACAGAGATCTCTGCTCTGGGCATAAATCAGAACTAGCTTGTCTTCTACTTCTGCCATTTAACAGCCTGGGTAGTTATTTCCTTGAGCTGCCATTTCAGGAGCTGAAAAGCCACTGCCTTTTTTTTTTTTTTTTTTTTAGATTTATTTATTTATGCATACAAGAACTGGGGTACAAGCCAGAGGTGTAGTGGTTGCTAATAGCTTTATAGTGCTGTGCTTTAACCCCTTGCACCACCTGGGAGGTCCCTATTTTTGTTAAGATTGATTTATTTATGCATGCAAGAACTGGGGTGCAGGCCAGAGGTGCTGGGGGGGTGGTGAGAGGATTTGCCAGAGACACAGTAGGGAGCAGAACAGGCAGATTGACTACAATACAATGCTGAGGGGAGCAGCAGCAAGACAGAAGAGGTGTCTGCTGCGTCCTATGGGTTAGTTCTCTGGCAAGGAATCAGCTTTCGCTGCAGCGGCTATAGATAGCTTCATAGTGCTGAGAAACCCCTTGCGCTACCAGGGAGGTCCAGCCACCGATCTTAAATTCCCCAGCCCCCTTTCTCTAGTCCTTCTTCCCCATCTCTATAGCACTGATCATCCAAATATAGTCCAGAGCCCAAGCTCCTGTCGGCTGCCAGGGCCCTCAAAAAGCAAACACACTGTCTTCTACAGGCTTAGTCCCCACACCCCAGCTGCACATCCCTTGGACTTGGAGAACCAGACAGCCCACTCCATTCTTTGACAGACCTTTTGCATCTTCTGTCTAACATAGAAAAGCGCGACTGTGTGTGAAAACCTCTGTTAGGCACTGGAGATACAGAGAGGACCACTTAAATCCTGTTCCCACACCCTCAGTTTAGTGGGAACAAGAGACAAGGGAATTGGAAACTAACAGCAATCAACAGTCTGCAGTGGCACATAGGAACGATGAGAGTGGGCACTGGCACCAGAGGTGAGGCATGCCCATTCCAGGCTAGTAGAGATCAGGGGAGACTCCTTAGAGGAGGTGTTTGAGCTGGATTTTGAGTCATGTAATGGTTTCCTGGGCAAATGAGGACAGAGAAAGCATATCATAGCAGGATATGGAGAGGGAATGGTGCAGCCAGGAAATCCAGTGCTATGGTACAGGTTAATGAAGAGCAAAGCAAATTAAGGTAAACAAAAGCCTTATTGTGAAGGACCTTGATTGCCATAATCTGATTGCCATAATTTGGACTTTGTTCTGAATATGTCTAATTATAAAAGGATTTTAAGTAGAGAAGAGATTTGCATTTCAGAAAGTTCCTTGTGAGCAGGAACTCCCTCTGACAGTAATGCTGTGAGAACCCTTGGGAGGAATACAGAATTGAGGCCCACTCAGTTCTTTACAAGTGAGAGGGTAAAATTAGTGGACATCGAAAGGTAGCATATCGGACTTGGAAGCTGCCCAATGAGGGTAGAGGAGGAAGGAAAGGGAAGAGGGCCAATCACTCCTAAACCCACTCTTGGACTCCTGACTGGATGGCGCTGCTGTGACTCCAGGGTGTGCCAGAGGAGAGGAGTTGCATTGTATGTGATTGAAGTGAAGGTGTAGATGGATGTCATTGTGTGACAGTCACCCTGTGGGTAGGGAGAAAGAAGGAAGTCTTTCACAGTGTTGGTAAAGAAGTTGTCCTCAGGACATGGGAACTTCAAGGAACATGGAGGAAGGCTAGGGCACCAGACAAGAACAGACTTAACATAGATCATCCCAAGGTACACATAGACAGTAGTAGACAGTAGTGTTGTGTAGGTTCGATGAACCAAATATATATATATATATATATATATAATGCATACAGAACTGCGGTACAAGCCAGAGGTGCAGGGGTGGTGAGAGGCTACACCAGAGAGAGAGTGGGGAGCAGAAAAGGCCAACTGATGAAGTACACTGCTGAGGGGAGCAGGGGGTGGGTCAGGAGAGGTCTGCCGCACCATGTGGGTCACCACCAGGGCTGGGATCGAACTCACACTGAAGCAGCTGCAGCCTAGTGCTGTGTCCCAACCCCTTGCACCACCAGGGAGGACCCTAGAAATGTATTTGTATCTCTGATCTCCTAGCTTTACTAAAGGCTTGCTTGGCTCACTTGTCATGTGCTAATCTTGAACAAACAAAACCTCACTGGTGGATCAAAGGGCAGAGGAGGATGCTCTGCCTTTCAGGAGTAATTGCAGGGTTAGGTATGGTGGTTAAGGGCATGTGAGATCCGGTTCTAAAAGCCAAACTGTGCCTTCATAGGGACACCCAGTGCACCCTTCCCTTTTGGAAGGGAAGATAACCCTCCTTTATTAAGTACACTGAAGCTCTGCTGCAGGAACTACCTAGCAAAGCTGGATGGGTGAGGCTGGTACTCAGGGCAATGTCTAGGCCAGAGAGGAGTAGACATGAGGCATCAGCTGAGAACAACTTACCCTCTTCATGCCTCAATCACTTCCCGTGAAATGGGTTGCTGTGAGATTTATTTATTTCCTATGGAATTTTAATAAATTATATACTTAACCATTTCTGATACACAGCAAGTGCTGAATAAGTTATAACTAACACTGTTTTTACCACTGTTGTCAAAAACAGGACAATACACAAGCTTACTTGGGTAAAATTTATAGGCAAAAAAACTGCTCTAAACCTTTTTTCATTTTCCAAGTCCTTCCCCACTGGCCATGTTACCCTTCTCTGAGGTATATAAGGAATCAGCCTTCTTTATAACACCTACCTTGTTCTACCTGAAAGAACAGGTAGAAATTCTTTTGTTTTCTATTTACAACTGGACTGAATGCACCTTTAAAAATTGCACTGCCTCATCCATTTTCATGCCAGGGTCAGTGCCAGACACACAGTATGTGTCCAGTCAGACTAAAGCAAGATAATGCATGTAACAATGCACTTTGTCAACTGAGGAGTGCTACAAACTCCATGCCTTCGCTATAACACCTTTAAAAAAAAAAATAAAGATGTACTTATTTATGCATACAAGAACTGGGGTACAA